GCAGTTAGTTAAGCTACGGAATCTGCTACAAGATATAGCAGTAACCATTGATTCACGATAGTTGGTTTTTTTTTAAAGGGGGCTTAGACAAATTCATGGGGTACATTCTTAATCATGATGCGATCCCCCATGATCAAAGAAAGAATGCCTATGGCCCTCACATTCTGTTTGTGGGATTCCCAAAGACTTCTGGTTTTGCAGAGGAAGAAACAGGGTACTAGATTGGCCTCTGATCTGATCCAGTAAAGCTTATACAGGAGAGGTTTAGGATTTTCCTTACCACCAGCAGAACTGGTTTCATTCTGACAGCATGAAAACAGAATGCCACAAGAGCAAATGCACCCCAAACCCCCAAACTCCGTCGTCACACGACTGTGTTGTTCTTTGGAAGTCCTTCATGACTGTTTGGCTATTAAAACCATCTTCACATTACTTTAAAACTGCTGCGGAGAGTCTCCGCTCCCTCTCCTAAAACCATGCATTTTAAACCCATTTGCACATTTTTAATTACACCTATATTAATTTCCCTGGCAATTTAAAGCTAACTTTTAGATTAGCAGTTCACACCATTCCCTCTTGCGGAATAAAACTTGGAAGCATGCACACTTTTTTCATGATGGATGGTTTTAATTAGACTGCATTCTCTTTGAAGTGCAGGGATCACCTAGAAGAATTCAGATCCTTCTGGAGTGTTTTTTCACCTTCTTGCGTATGCCTTGCAGGAGACTGTAGCGCTAGAATTTTTCAAGACTAGTCAGAGTCGCCAAAAGGAGGAGGAGGAGGAGGAGGATAGAGAAAGGGGTCCTGTATTTTCATCCACATGGACACCAGATGATGGTTTTAGGAACACCTCCAGAGTGAGAAACTTAAGGATTCTTGGATTCTGCAACTAGCAGTCACCTGGCCAGTTGACACATTAAAGCAGAATCAGGGTACTTAAGGACCAACTCAACAACATCTCCAAGTCATCCAGGCACCAAATACATCACAAAGGCAGAAAGGGGGAAAGGGAGCTCAATCATTAAGAACAAAAGTGATACAGCAAATAAAATCACCAACAGAATTTACAGTCATGTAACTGAAATAAAAATATGGTGTATAAACCTTATTTTTCCATTCCATCACCACCACTAATATGAATGTCCTGTGATTTGGGCTGCAAATGGCAACTCACCATGTGTTTATTTAAATGAAACTATTAATGGAAGACCCTCCACGCTACTCTCTAGACCAGAGCTTTCCAAACTATGTGTCGCGACACGTTAGTGTGTTGGCTGCAGCATGTAGGTGTGTCATGCAAATGCTCCCTGTGTTCCTCCAGAGGCTGGAAAGGGGGTTAGTTTAACCTCTGGTTTCATAAGTAAAACTGAGTTACTGTGTCATGAAATGATGCATGTCTAAAAAGTGCATCATCAACATGAAAGTTTGGAAAGCTCTGCTCTAGGCCAGTCTTCAGCAACCTGGCGTCCTACAGATGTCCTGGACTACAACTCCCATCAGCCACTTTCAGCGCATCCTGGCTGCAATTCAAAAATCTGGAAGGCACCAGACTGACAAAGTCAGCCTTCAGATATGGGTAAAAGGTTGGAGAAACACTCTGAAGGAGGAATCGACACATGTTCAGATGAATGCACACAGGCTTGTTTGTGCCTTTGGGAGATGCGTAAAATCAGAGCTTCTGATCATATGGAGGAACCGATCCACATCCAGTTAAAAATATGCAGGTTCCCCCTTTAGACCTTTCCCCCAATGCATGGAGATCTGGTAGGAACCACAAGGGCCAACATGTGCAGCCCCATTCTCTGGTTTCTGAAGGACAGCATGCATGGAAAGAGACATGACAAACTGCCTTGCAGGAAGTGAGAGTGATGTCACCTCAGCCTTCCAAGTCCTCATCCAGCACAGATCACCGTCTTTCCGCCAAATAAAGTTCCTCTTGCCTCACCGCAAAACACTTTGCTTATACTAAACAAATATCGCATATCCTCCACTGTAGACAAAACAAAAGCATTCCGCTTTTACAAATAAGAAAAAGGAGTGTTTTGTTTGGCCAAACCACAAATCAATAATCTGCTGGTGGGTGGATTCTCTCTTTCCCTTCAGGAGCAACTGGCTATTATCTCTATGGGTCTTGTGGCATTTTTTATTTTCAGAGAGAGAGCGCTTTTCTTTGGCTGTTCTCATTACTCGCAGCAGCTCTGCACATTTCCTCTAAAGCAACGTAACCCGGCAACCCAGGAGAGGCTGCGATTAACTTTTTTTGACAGCAGGGACAGCAAAGCAAGGCAAGCCAACCCCTTCCCTGAAGACAGTTAAATCTCCATCGGATTGTCTTTATTGCACAGATTCTCAAAGCACCGGAAAGGGCTCCAAACGAAAACTACCAAGCCCCAGGAACAGATTCAGATCATAGAAGCCAATCACAAGCCATTTGGGAAGCTACTTTGAGAGATTCCTCCAGAAAAGTCCCCCAAAACCAAGTACAGTACTTACACACATTAAACTTGTGCACATTCAGCTTTATGCACTTAGCAAAAATATTTTTAAAAAAATGAAAAAGGGGGTGGAAAGGGGGCAGGCGACCGGGGGGGGGGGGAACTTTGGCAATCCCACCCTCCATTGCACCCAATGTGCCTCAATGATACGTGATTTGGGCTTTAGGTGCTATCCCCAGAACATAACCCCCACATAAGTTATGGGTCTTCCATACCCCAATCAAGAAGCAATGCAGCCCCAATGGACTTCAGCTTCATATAATAGGAGTCTATATTCCTGAGAGGGGGACGCGGGTGGCGCTGTGGGTAAAACCTCAGCGCCTAGGGCTTGCCGATCAAAAGGTCGGCGGTCCGAATCCCCGCGGCGGGGTGAGCTCCCGTCTTTCGGTCCCAGCTCCTGCCCACCTAGCAGTTCAAAAACACCCCTAAGTGCAAGTAGATAAATAGGTACCGTTTTATAGCGGGAAGGTAAACGGCGTTTCCGTGTGCTGCGCTGGTGCTGGCTCGCCAGAGCAGCTTCATCACGTTGGTCACGTGACCCGGAAGTGTCTGCGGACAGCGCTGGCTCCCGGCCTCTTAAGTGAGATGGGTGCACAACCGTAGAGTTGGACACGACTGGCCCGTATGCGCAGGGGTACCTTTACCTTTACCTTATATTCCTGAGATGAGAAAGCTGTGACCTTCCAGATGTGGCTAGACTACAACTCTCAGCATCCCGGACAATTGGTCATTCCGGCTGGGGCTTGGAATCCAATGACACCTGAAGAGCAACGAGCTCCCCATCCCTGCTATGTTATCTCAATAAAACCAGTCCATTTCCCTCATCGTGCATCAGCAACATACAAGGAAACCAGATCCAGCACAGCTGTACTTTTGTCGCCACGCAACGCTCTTCTCGCTCAGCAGAGTCCTGAAATTTACAGGAAGCTTCTCCCAGAGGAATGCCAAGAGATGATTGCCAGCACACCTGAGATACAGTGCAAAGCCGGAAACCTAATTTTAGGTTGTGCAAGTGGCTGCAAGAGGCATTTTGAGATAAGAGATACCCTGAAAAGAAACTCGTCTTCCACTTCAGAGGTTCAGGCACAAACTATCACATTGCTTGCAACATATCAAGTAGTGCGCTAGGATAAGAAGGAACTCAGCCCAAACACTTCAGTAACGCAGGTTATATCCCATAAGCTGCTTTACATCCCTTAACCAGCAGGGGAGCATAGTTATAAGGTGGCCCAGGAAGCCCCTCGCTATGAGTTTTTTGTACTGTGCTCCAGACTTCGTGTCCCTTTCCCTCCCCTGTTTTCTTTCAACTTTTTTAAAAAAAGAAAACTTGTCTGCAGAGCAGCCAAGCACACTTCAAAAGTACTCTGCTGGTGAGACACTGGCACCATGCATTCTTAATTTACCCAGAGGCATCTGTATATAAAAATTAGCATATGTAAATTTTATGCAAATAGACGCCATAAGCCTTTGCCCCAAGTCCTTTAAAGTACCTAGCAACACCTCTGCCAGTAAAGATGCTTTTTAAGACCTGGATGAAGGTTGAATAGGGGAGGACAAAAATACAGTTGCATGGGCATCAGCGTCTTTCCATTCATCCTCCCTCTTCAAATCTCCTCTGCCTAAAATCACAGCTTTGCATGATGGAGTCTCAAGATGGTTTGATGCTGTAATTTGCTATCCTGTATGTAGCTCCAGCTCTTTGGAACTCTGGAACTTCCTGCCTATTGACGTTGGCAGGAGTCTTTGCTGTGCTCTTTTCAGCCCCTGCTAAAAACATGTTTGTTTAGGTGAGCACATGCAGAATGCTGACAGTTTTTAGTTTATTGTTGGTTTCAACTGTTGCTGTTGTTTTGAACATTTTAAATAGTTGCATATAACTTTTTTATACTGATAATCTTATCGTTTAATTCTTTTTGTAAATGGCTTTGAGGTTTTATTACAATGGAACAGCATATACATTTTATGAAATAAACAATGGAACGAACGAATAAATTGGACAGTCTCTCCCTCTCTGATCTCTCTGATTTGCTTAGCAAATTCCCACCCCATCCCTGGTTCAAATGGACAAGATTCGGGACCACTGAATCCAGCAGAAGCCTACCCCATCTTTACTAAGAACCCGATTGAAAAACCCATTGAATTTTGCAAGCATCACACTAGAAGAAGCTGCTGAGAGAGAGGGGAACAACAACAACAGTGGAATAAATTCCAGAGAAACCTGACACACAGTTGAACTATTCCATTTTGGCTGGTGCATCTAAATATTTTAACAGGAGGGGAACGTCTTCATCACCATTTGTGCTTCTCCCTTCCCCTACATGAGAAGCTGTTGTGTCTGAATGAGACGCAGCGCAACGGAGTAACAAGGCACTATTGTACTCCAGCAAAAGGAGCCAGCTGGGCAGAAGAACAAACAAGAAGGGGAAAAAACTCCAACAACCCCTCTGAGTTCAATAGCAAATGGGAAAACTGATGCCTTTATTCAGCCATGTTTTTCTATTTGGGAAACAATCCTTTAGGAATGGGTTATCAGCAGCTAATGGCTGGTTTGTTACTTACAAGGCTTCAGATGAAGCGCAGGGTGGTTTAAGGTCTGTCACGCTGCGGTAATAAGCAAATAGAAGGGGATTACGATCATTACAAACTAATCATGCGAGTATTATATATATTTTAATTAGCATCTGCCGCTGCACAGTTCGAGCAGTTACGAGTTCTCTGCCATCCCATGCCAGCCCCTTGCTGCTATCAAGAGACTGAGCAGAGTGCAAGACTGACACCCTTGAAAACGCACTGAGAAAATTGGAAAAGTTTGGGTCCTGTAAGCATTTTATCACATTGCCCATGATGAGCCTTCATCAAAGGCATTTGTGTTTTTCCTTTAAAGCCCTTAATGGTCCAAGACACATATAGTTGAGGCAGCCCCGCTTTCTTTATTAGCCTTCCATTAATCTAAAAGCTACAAGTAGGGATCTGTACCAGTTTGGGGACATCCTTTTCCAACCTCCAGATATTTTCAGTCGCAAGTCCCCTCCAATGCAGCTAGCAGTTGATTTTTATCACTCTCTACTTGTTGCAGTGCAAACATGTGCTAAACCACATCAAAGTGTGAAAGGCAAGGCATATACATCTAGATATGGACAGATATAGGTATATTTAAACCACCAGGATTCTTGAAGTAGCCTTTAACTTTAATACTAAATCATACACTGCAATCTCAAGAGTGGGACACCCTTTCCAAAACAAAAGATTCTCTTTTTTGCCACATCTATTACTTTTCTACACGAAAGTGGGTTTTTTAAAAATCCCTCCAATGCTAGATGTAAACAGTTTAGCTTTTGTTTAGCTTGCAGAGCTATGAAGGCCTACATTACAGTAGAGGGCTTTAAGGAGTATTTGCTGCATGAATCAGAACAAAAAAAGGCCGTCTTGTGAATTATCTCGTCTCTATGCTATCATCCTCAAACCCAAGATCCGAAGGTATCATAAGAAATTTACATGGGCTTTTAGTAGCTGCATCCCATTAAACAGTTAAACTTTACTTTTTTTTTTTTAATAATTTTTTATTAAAGTTTAAAACAACATAAAAAAAAAAACAAAAAAACACACACAAAAATCAATACAAAACTTAACAATAGAAACACAAAACACAACAGTTAAAAACAAACTCTCTTTTCCATTTCCAATTTTACATAACTTATTTTCTAGACTTCCTCAAGCCTCCCTCCTTTGTATTCCAGTCCACATTATTTGTCCAGCAGTTTCTTTTCCACTTTTTTAATCCCAATCTTTAATTTAATAAAATGTTAAAGTATATAACTTCAACTTTTTTAAACCTAGTCCTTAATCTTAATATCTTATAACTTTAAAGTTTCCCCTTTTAAAATCAAATTTCCCTTTCTTTAAACTTCTTTAATCTTAAATCTTAGTCTATCCTTAACTTTAACCTGTGCAGCTGGAAACCACTTATTTTCAGTCCAACATCACTCTAACATTCCTTAATTTTGCAGTGTTTCTGAAGATAGTCTTTGAATTTCTTCCAGTCTTCCTCCATCGACTCTTCTCCCTGGTCACGGATTCTACCAGTCATTTCCGCCAATTCCATATAGTCCATAAGTTTCATCTGCCATTCCTCCAGCGTGGGAAGTTCTTGTGTCTTCCAATACTTTGCGATGAGTATTCTTGCTGCTGTTGTTGCATACATAAAGAAAGTTCTATCCTTTTTTAACCATTTGGCCGACTATGCCCAGGAGGAAGGCCTCTGGTTTCTTAGGGAAGGTATACTTAAATACCTTTTTTAATTCATTATATATCATTTCCCAGAAAACCTTAATCTTTGGGCACGTCCACCAAAGGTGAAAAAATGTACCTTCAATTTCTTTACATTTCCAACATTTGTTATCGGGCAAGTGATAGATTTTCGCAAGCTTGACTGGGGTTATGTACCACCTGTATATCATTTTCATAATATTCTCTCTTAAGGCATTACATGCCGTAAATTTCATACCTGTGTTCCATAACTGTTCCCAGTCAGCAAACATAATGTTATGTCCTACGTCCTGTGCCCATTTAATCATAGCCGATTTTACCGTTTCATCTTGAGTATTCCATTTCAGCAGCAAGTTATACATTCTTGACAAATTCTTAGTATTGGGTTCTAACAATTCTGTTTCTAATTTGGATCTTTCCACCTGGAAGCCAATTTTCCTGTCCAATTTAAATGCCTCCATTATCTGATAATAATGAAGCCAGTCTCGCACTTTGTTTTTTAGTTTTTCAAAACTCTGCAATTTCAGTCTATCTCCGTCTTGTTCCAAAATTTCCCAATATTTTGGCCATTTGACCTCCATATTGACCCTTTTCAAGGCTTTCGCTTCCATTGGTGACAGCCACCTTGGGGTTTTATTTTCTAGCAAATCCTTATATCTTATCCAAACATTAAACAGCGCTTTCCTGACAATGTGGTTTTTAAATGCTTTATGTGCTTTGACCTTATCATACCATAAATATGCATGCCATCCAAATACATTATTGAAACCTTCCAAATCCAAAATGTCAGTGTTTTCAAGAAGTAGCCATTTAAACAGTTAAACTTTACAGAGAGTGTGTGTGTTTGTGTGCTAGGGCTAATCCACACTTACCATTCCTCTGCCGTTTCCAGGCATGCTCCGCGCTTTAAAGCTCCAAGTCTGAGCATTCATATGTGGAGTTTCAAAGTGCTGACCTGTGTGTCTGAGAACAGCAGGGCAAAAGGTAATTGTGGATAATCCCTTAGACTTGGGGCTCTGGCACACTTACCTTTGGTCTGCACTTTCTAGGTGCAGATTCAGGTTTTCCAGGTCTGTGTCAGAGCAGCATGCTTGTTTGTTTGTCCCAACGCTTTCCCTGGGAAAACCTGTGTTTTATCACAGAATCTGAGCAAACAGCAAACCAGATTGGTGTTCACTCTAATTCAGCAGTAAAATGTGGGTTTTCCTAGGAGAAGCACTGGGGCACAGACCTGGAAAGCCCAGACTTGTACCTAGAGACACAGCACAAAAACAAATGCCGATGAGCCCTAAGACTGCAGCCCCACATTTGAGTCAAACACGGCTCAATGGAATTTTGCTTTGCACTCACAGGAAGCAAGAGGGAGCATTGCAAGGCAGAGGAGATTCCCACGTTACTCCAGTAAGCCCAGCCAGGTGCCATGCACAGTCCTCATGTCAGAGGGATAATGGGGGGAAACAGGCTCTTTGGAGAGCTATGGAACTCCTCCTCATATGACCTGTTTCAATTCATTTTAAATGCAGTAGCATGTCAGCATTGCTTAGTGGAAGTCGTTCCACTAAACAATGGATGCCTTACATAAAAGTATTCACTACTTTTGCCCGGTTGCTTTTGTCCAAGGATTCTCCATTATAAATAAGCCGATCAGTGTTGACCCTGGTTGCCCGCCAAAAGGTTACTCTGCGTAGCCTCAGTTTATCCATACTTGGCAGAAGGTTATTCACCACCCATCAAGAGAGAACAAACAGTCTTGTTTGAAGCACTAAGTACATATCTCAAATACATTACATGCAGCACTTCCTTCCTTATGGACAAAATCATGGCAGGAACTGTGCAGTATAGCTCCCGTCACCTCTTCTCTCCCCACATCCACTCTGCCCGCGTGACGTGACACCGTCCTGCTCTGCCCACCTCTGCAAACCAAAGTAGAGGAATGACAGGAACTCGAAACTGCATTACTAACAGTTTCAGGGAGAGGAACGAGGAAACGAAGCAAACAAAAAGCCCTGTGTGCTTCCTCTGTGCTACCATTTCCAAATCCACTTAAGTAGAAAATGCCTTTGATGCCAACACTCCTAATTCTTGCTTCCTAAAACATGCCATGTCAGAAGGTCCGCTCTTATGTGATTGTAATTGTGGGGCACCGGAATCGTTGCATCACATAATTTTTGACTGTGCTTCTCACTCATCGGCCAGGAGCAAGTTTCTTGCCCAATATCTAAAGGGAATTGCCGATGATACGAATGAAGCCAAACTGAGATATCTATTAAATGATGATGACCCCCTAAGATCACTCACGGTTGCCAGATTCTTGATCAGTGTCCTATCCCTATAGACTAGTAACGGACTCCTGTGTGGCTCGGAAAATCCCTTTAAACCACGATCTATGTTTTAGGATGTAACTAGGTGAATCACCATTGATGTCTTTTATTGATCTGTGAGCAGATGGTGATGGTTATGTTACAAATTTATTGCAACATATGATGTTGGTCTTTTGTTTTTGTTCTGCTTTGGTTCTTGTCTGTTTTTTGTAAGTTTTGACGGTTTTAAATTTGGAGGTTCATGTACATTATGTTGGTATGGGAAACTGTCGTGTGACGGGCCAATGGCCGTAATAAAGATCAATCAATCAATCAATCATGTCAGAAGGTTATGTCTTTCTGAAGAGTCACATCTAGGAGGTGTACAGAGAAGACTCCTAGACTTTGTGTTTCATCTGGAATGCTTTAGGTCAGCCTAAAGCAGTGGTGGCCAAACGTGGCCCTCCAGCTGTTTTGGGACTACAGTTCTCATCATCCCTGACCACTGGTCCTGTTAGCTAGGGCTGGTGGGAGTTGTAGGCCAAAAACAGCTGGAGGACCAAGTTTGGCCACCACTGGCCTAAAGAGATCAAGAAGATGGAACTTCTCTCTTGTAATCAGAACATGGGAATCCCAAACATTTCTTGTTTCTAGATAGAGTCCCATATCTGAAGTCAACCATGCATAGTGGTTCTATATGCCAGGCGTGTCCAAAGTCCGTTTCCGGGGCCTAATGTAGACCACTGGTTGGTTTAATCTGGCCCCCATGGCAGTTTATTTCCTGGGGTAAAATCCTTAAAAAACCTCAACAACTTCAACCCTAATAAAAGGTCAACAACTTTGGCCGGCCCTTTGGCGCTTCACTTCATCAAATCTGGCCCTCTTTGAAAAAAGTTTGGACACCACTGCTATATGCTGTTGTCAGAAAATGGTCATCCATCATGGATGTCAAAACCTGATCAGTTGAGTACTTCAGCACATAGCAAGAGCCTTGTTTGGTCAAAATCATCTTAGGTATATTCCACTATAGAATTTGTGGCCATCAGGACCCTGTTGCTATGAACATTTTCAAAAACCGTGTAACTGTAATAACCCGAAAGATTGCAGACGATATTTGATAGAACATAAAATGGCTGCTGTGATTTACTTTCAAGCAAACTAATTCTTTAAAGGGTTTCTACCTCAACAACAGTTAGGCAATTTCACATCTCACCCAGTCCAAAAGCTCAATTCTAAGCCCTTCAATGAGTGGTATTGACAGATATGAAGCATTTATATAGCACCGAGCACTCAAATCAACACACATACATTATCTCAGTAACTTCAAGGGTAATAGATGGAAATATAGATGGAAAGCCAAGGTTCAGAGAACAGTAGTTTGCCCAAGGAGGGGTGGGAAATGCATGGAAAATGTTGGTGTCACAACTCCATCAGCCCAGCCAGCCTAATCAATGGCCCAGATGGGACTTGTAGCCCAGCAACATCTATCTGGAGGGCCTCAAGTAAAGGACCAAGAGTGTGTTCTCCATAGGGAAGGGGGAGGCAAATTAGTTTGTTCCAGCTCCGAAAGAAGTTTCCAATTTCCTAGAGAGGTGGGCGTCAAGTTTTTAGTGGGTTTATTGGGTGGGGTGAAACTAATGAGTCCCATCAATGGAAGCCCTATGCAAGGACTTTCACTTGCTTCCCCAAAAAGGAATGGCGGGGGGGAGTGGGAGAAACCCCAGGACAGCGTGCAAGGGAATTGTGCCATCCGGCAAGTCAAAATGCCTGCCCTGGTGGAACAATGACCTTATCACAACGCTGAATTTCTCCCGGTTTTTATTCTCTTGCTATCTGTGTGGCACCAAAAGAATTTACTTGTATACTAAATAAATAAAACCTAATGGATTTCTAATGGGACTATGCCAGAATAAACGTTATAATTGTCTTCACACTCCAACTTCTGTATGTTAACTGGCCTACTTAAGATTCCACTTCTTACTCTTGGAACCTAAACCTGGTAATTA